TGGGACTTGGAGACGGGAGCACAAGTCGGGGATGCGTTAGTTGGACATACGGGTCATGTGGTAAGCGTTGCGATAAGTGGGGACGGAAGACGTGTGGTATCTGGATCACGGGACAGGAGCGTGATTGTGTGGGACGTGGAGAAGGGAAAAGAAGTTGGAGAGGCGGCGTTAGTTGGAGGCGCGGGTGGTGGGGTGCGTAGGGTTGTGATGAGTGGGGACGGAAGACGTGTGGTAGCTGGATCGTGGAACAAGAGGGTGGCGGTGTGGGACGTGGAGAGATGGATTACGCTTCATGCCGGGTGGGTAGAGGATTGGGAAGAAATCACGCGTCGGTTCCTGGGGACGGCGGACTCGGGTACTGCTTGCGCAGTACGAACATTTCCAAGGGAGGGAGAAATCGTGCGAAGGCGAGAGGATGGGTCTGAGGCTGTTTTGGCCCAGTTGGACAACCCACAAGACTTGCAGATAGACCACGATCACGGGGTCGTAGTTGCAGGGGTGGGCCACCTGGTTGCTATCATGAAGCTAGTGGTGTAAATTGCGGAAAGCGATAGACGCTCAAGCGTCCGCTTGGCGCCCGAGACACGAGTAATGCGTTTGCAACTGTGCGGGGTAGTACCGTTGTGGGGAGGGTTTTTTGTTTTGTTTTGTTATGAATGGCTGAGAAGCTTGCTTGACGTTGCAGTCCATGTATGTGTATGTATGAACTAGCGACCTGCTTCCTTTCATCGAGCGCTCTTGTACTCAATATAATATATTGTGCATTAATATGCAGGCACCTGGCTATCACATGCGTCAGTTGCGTGCGAGTAAAGATGTAGAGGTAGATACATTAGTGATCCAACGGTGTGTTCAGAAGCGTTGCAGACCGGGTCAAGGCGGGGGCCAATCTCACTGTTAAGCGGCGATGCGTACACGTGCGCAGGTCAACACGTGTGACGAGAAGTGGCAAACGAGGCCAACTATTTTCTTCAATTTTTCCATCTACAGTGCCTCCTACGATATAGTGCTATAGCGTGACATACCTTTAGCTATGGCACTATTGGGGGGATGGCACTATATAAAGGAGGCTCAAATACATATATTTGGGGACAAAGCACACTGCTAACACAAACACAACAAAGCCTGTTTAACACAACTAAATAACTTCATCCTTTGAGTACTGAACCATGCCGGATGATACACGTGTGAGCTTATGATAACCTGTGCCAGAGGGTGAGCCATAGCACTATATAGAGGGAAGCACTACTAAAGTAGGCACTATTGAGACGACCCCCCCCCCTGTACTCATTTACGACGCACAAACGTTGTTGCCTACCGTTCCCCCTCCTCCTTCGTGCCCCTCCTCCTTCGTGCCAAGCAGCGGCCTGCCAAGTCTCTGCCATCCGACAACGTCCTTCCCTCTCCCTTACGGAACGTCGGCGTTCGTCGGCGTCGTCACTCAATCTAATTATGAACACCGCCTCCGCAAGGGGTATCGGTTACCGTGTAAGAGATAAGCACTGGGCAAAAGGGAAGGTGTCCTGGCCAGCACAGGTAAATCAAGCGGCCCCCAATGACAGACTGACCACGATAGGCTGTCCGGGGACGTGGCGGACGCGGTGTGCCGGGTAGCGGAGTAGGTGGGCGACGTCGCGGTGGTGGCCGAGTGCGTGCAGGTGGGGCGCGCGCGCGCGATCGCGGACGAGGTTTGCATGCAGCTCCACGCAAATCAGTTCTATGCAGCGGCGGGGGCGCGGCTGGAGCGGCGGGCGGGCCACGCGCCCGTGGTGGCGAGCTGGTTGAGGCTGCTGCGCAACATGACCAGGCGAAACGCGGCGAAGAGCGCGGTGTTCGGCTAGATGGAGTGGGTGATGCGCGTGGTGGGCGGCAGTGGCGGGGGCGGACGCGGGCGAGGCGGAGATGTTCTGCGGGCTGGTAAGAGGGGTGTGCCTATGGCGCGGGGACGTGGCGGACGGGTGTGCTCGGGACGGGGCAGTGGAGGTGGTGGTGCGGGCGATGCGGACGCATGTGGCGGCAAGGAGGGCCGGGTGCCTCGCGGTGAGGGCCCTGTGCGCGAGGAGCGAGGGGGCGCGGGAGAGGGTGCGGGCCGCGGGCGGCGAGGTGGCCGTTACAGAGGCGTGGAAGGAGAAGGGGTCTGATGAAGTCGGGTACGCAGCGCTAAGGGACATGGGGACGCTGAGGGAGGAAGAGGAGAGAGGCGATGAGCTGTACACCATGCCGGCGGTGTTCGCCTTGAGCGGGAGGGCAGACGACTAGCTACATGAGTAGAGGGGAGCGGGGGGAGGTGTGTGAGGCTTAGAAAAGGTGGGGCTTACAAACGCGATGCGGTGTAAATATGGGGCGCGCAACGCGCGCCACGGAGCCTACTTGTCATTTACTATTGCCATCTCCCAATAAAGCATGTTTTTGGGGCCTCGCACGGGGCGGCATTAATGGGTAGGGTCCCTTGTACTCCCTCTTCCACATCTCCTTTCCCCCGTCTCGTCCCCTGCCGCCCTCCTCAGCCGCCGTGCCAAACCCACCGCCGACGCCTCCCTCCCCACCACCAGCAGCTCGAACGTCTCTGAGTACGGCTAAATTGCGCCCAGCCCGCGCCCCGCCGCCCCGCCGCCGTCGCCGACGCCGCGCTCCGCCAGCGGCGACAGCAGCACGTCCAGCTCCTCGAACGCGCCCCTGCCCTCCATCCCGTTGCTGCTGTTGCCGCAGCTCATCCTCGCGCGCGCGCGCGAGGCACCGGGAGCGCTCCCGGTGCCGAGGAGGGGGGGCCCGGGCTGGCGGGAATGCTTGCCCGCGGATCGCGCCGCGCCGCGGCCTCGACTTTCATGCGTACCGCCAGCGCGCGCACAAGCAAGTAGAGTCGCGGCGGGGAAGCGTTCGCTACGCTACTAAAACGCGGGGGGGCGCACGCAATCTGTCCATGCGTGCGGCGGGGACAGGCGAAACCCCGCCGCCCGCGACGACGGGGGCGAGCGATATCGATTGCGTCTAGCGGGCCATGCGCGCGGGCGCGCAAGGGAGAGGGGGGAGGCATAGCGCGTCGAGGTTAGGGCGCGTGCAACGGAGGCAGCGGCGCGCATTCGGACGCGAGCGCATCGGGCGTGCGGCGCGGGCTGCAGTCGAGGTGCGCGCATCTCTGCGCACGGGCGAGAAGCAAGGCGGTGTGGTGTCTGCGCTGCGGGTCGCACGTAGTTTGAACGGGAAGCGTTTACGGGCGGAGATGCTGCGATGCTAGATGCCGCTCAGAAGACGCACGGCCGAAGAGCGCCGCCGCCCGGGCGCAGGGCAGCGCGTCCCGATTGCGTCGCGTACCGAGCGATTCGCGTGACCCCGTCGGCACGGGCCATCCGCCGGCACCTCAGCGACTGCGACCGGCCTCGCCCCGCGTGGGGCGCGACGACGTAGGCACGTGGTGAGAGGGCGCAGTGGTGCGCGGCGGACGGCGGCCCGGGTAAGGTGGAATGCGGCTTGTACCAGAAGGAGACAAGCGGAGGCCGCGGCGCGCACTGGTGGCCGTGCCCTCGTTTTAATTGCGCGCCCTCGCCGGGCGGCCGCCCACCCGGCGCGCCGTTTTCTTGGCTGGCGGCCGAGACGCTTCAGGTGAGCAATGCCTTCCATGCAGGCCGTCACTTTACTCGGCAGCGAAACGCACGGCCACGCCGCCATGCTTCCTACCTGGAGCGACTCTCATTCCATGTTGAGGCTTGCAACATGTGGTCAATGTAGGCGAGGGAAGCAAGCTCATTCTTCAGGCACAACAACAGTGTCGTCGGAATATGGCGGAAGCAGGCGACGCTCGCACTTTAACGACTACTCCGCCGTGATGGTTCCAGCATGTCTTTCCAGAAGGAGATCATCGTTGCGGAATAGGATCTCAAATATGTTTTTTGGTTTGCGTGCGCACAAACGTTGCCAGATTGCTATTCTGTGCAGCAGAGGCTACACATTGCCTTACGGCAGTTGTAGTTGATGGGAATGCCAGTATGGTGAACTGCCGGAGCGCATCCTGCATCAAGAGTAATACGACTACAGCGACACGTAGGTTAGAGTAGGTTCGGTATAATCGACCCCAAAGTTGACGGCCCATGTCTGACATGCTAGAGTACCAATTTCCTCAATTCAGCGGAATTGAGAAAATGTATTAGTGCGGCAACGCCGCGAAAAGTAAGGAACAACTACAGCACAGCTTTTTTAGCAGCCATTGCAGCTTTGGTACTGGAAGACGACACGCTGAACGCTGTGGCGGCTAGGTTGCACTTGGATCGAGTTGCGAGTTCGCCACTACGCGGTCATCGCCGGGTTAACATTGTGCGAAACAGAACCAACAGTTCTTTCGAAGAAAGTAATGCCATCTACAGTGATAAAGAATTCGATGGCCAGTGCAGTTGCAGTGGTGAAAGTTTGTCATCTTGCCATGACCTTGCCACTCCCGCTTCATATGCTGTCGTGGAGTTGCTTCTTGAGAAACTATTCCGGATTGGACGTGAAAAGCGTTGTACGTTTTCTTGTTTTTGCTCTGCTCATGTCTGACCGCACAGGACAGCCTGTCCTATACAGGACAGACTTAACCCACGAGCGACGACGAGTAAACGAGGTGTCATCGGTCTCCAGTTCACACAGCTCACGAGGCTTCCTGTGGCCATTCAGAGGGTTCCACTTGCCCCTTCTTCTTCTTGTTCATTGTTGTGCAACCAGAATAATAACCAGTAGCTCACCTGCACTTGTTGAGACTCTTAGCTACTTACAGTCAGGAGATAAAGTTTAATGTCAAAGATTAACATCGAACTGTCCAATGAATAAGGTAAAAGTTACGAGTGGTGCGATAGGGAGATTCGGGAAAGAATCATCCCGGACTTAGGAACGGGCCTGAGGCCCGTTCCTAAGTCCGGGATGATGAGGTTGATTACGTTATACAAACTGGAATCAGACAAGGCGGGGGCGGAGACAACCCTAACACCTAACAAACAGAATCACTAGAAAATTTTTGGGGAGTACAGTAAACCTCCTCTGAAAGCCACATTCAAGTACTTCCAGTATCGTTATCTTTACCTTACGGCTGCAGGTATTGTTGGCGTCAGAAGCAGACCTGTCTGTAGGAGAGACTCAGGACTTTGGTCGTGTTTACTGAGAGGGAAGGAGCGACGGCAGTGTTAAGTACTGTATCGTGGGGGAGCTATGTGCACGTATAGCATACGACACTGTCAAGGGCGGCCCACCAGACGTGAATACGTGGTTGATTTTGGAGGCGAGGACAGCTTTACTCGTGCCCTGGCGAAAGATCGTACCGCCCGGTTTGATAATTGCGTAAGGCAGAGGCCCGCGCTTGGCCCGAGAGTGTAACACTAATAAT